AAGTGGCGCTGTAGCTCAAGTGGTAGAGCGCTCGCCTTGAGCTGAAGAGCTGAGGGACAGCGCCCAGGCCCAGAGTTCAAGCCCCACGACCGACCAAAAAAAAAAAAAACAAAGTCTATTACAGACTTAGGTCTGAGACCCACCAAATACTGTTTCTCAAAGGCCAGGAGAGCAGAGAGGGGACTAAGGGAATCTAACAGAGGGTGAACTAGCTCAAAAGTATGCATCTGCAACTACGAGAGTTTCACAGGAGACCCTCTTATTAATGAATCCTTAAAAGGGGCTGGGGGGCTGGGAATGTGGCCTAGTGGTAGAGTGCTTGCCTAGCATGCACAAAGCTCTGGGTTTGATTCCTTATTACCACATACACAGAAAAGGCCAGAAGTGGTGCTGTGGCTCAAGTGGTAAAGAAGTAGCCTTAGCACAGGCTCAGGGACACTGGACTGGCAAAAAAAAAAAAGGGGGGGGAGGGGACTGGGATAAATTGGGTTTAGTGGGGCATTAACCAACAACTGTCCACGGCAAATCAGTTCTTCAGTTTTCAACCAAGGAAAGGATGAAGCTTTCTTTGTTTTTTGGTGTTTTTTTGCCAGTCCTGAGGCTTGAACTCTGGGCCTGGGCACTGTCCCTGAGTTTCTTTTGCTCAAGGTGAGCACCCTACCACTTGATCCACAGCGCCACTTTCTGCTTTTCTGAGTAGTTTACTGGAGATAAGTTTCATAGTTTCCTGCCTGGGCTAGCTTAGAACCACCATACTCAGATCTCAGCCTCCTGAGTAGCTAGGATTAAAGGCAAGAGCCATGGGCGCCTGGCAAGCATGGAGTGTTAAGTGGAAAAACACATTGCTTCAGTTGTGATTATAGTGTTTACCAACAGAGTTTTGCATAATTTCTGAGGACAAAAAAAAATTAGCCAACTTCCTTCCAAGTGAGCTTGCTCACCTGCGAGGAACTGGTGAACTGAAAGTGCTTGAAGGATCATAACACATTGCTTCTCCTCCATAGAAAACACATTCCCATGCCTGAAACTCTGTTGCAAGGTCTGCATTTCCACCAAGCCCAAGTTCCTATGAGCCAACAAAACCCACTGGCCACACCTCTGCACATCCATGTGCTGTTCCCTATACGGACTAAGAGAGTGACCGACAAGTCTCTACCCTGAGGGACATGTGAAGAAAGCAAGCACAATGACACACTAAGGTCCTCAGTAATAGTAACCTGTTGGAAGTCCCAAGGTGTGGCTCAGGGACAGCACAGATGCCTGGGATACACAAAGACCTTCGTTTGTCCCCCAGTGAAGGGAGAGACATGAGGCGTGCTTTGGGAGCCACAGGGAGGGGGGAGGGCGCAAGACGAGAAGAACAAGCATGGAGGAGACAGATGGGAAGAGACAAGCATGTGAGGCAAGGAAGTAGGAAAAGCTGTGGCACAACAGGGCAGAACAGAACAGAACAGACTGCAGCACTCATAATGGGAAGTTCATCTGACTGACAGAGCGAGGTGAAAGGAGGTAAGACACAGGTTGGATGGGCCTTAAGAACTCACTAGATGGGAGAGTAAGGGAGCAGGCTGTGGGGCGAGGGGAGGAAAAGGAATAAGTAGCCCCCTTGGAGAAGAGGACTCCAGGTGGACAGGTGGTGGCTGGGAGAGAAAGGAACAGGACTGGGGAAGCTGAAGCAGGTGTGTGCATAGGCTGGAGATGAGGGGCCTGTGGGGAACGCAGGGCGCTGGGATGGAGGGGAAGGCCTCACGTGTGCCAGGCAGAAACAAGACTCAGCAAGGCCGTAAGTGCTGAGATGTACATGTGTCCCAACTGGCTAGAGCAACAGCTGTCCTTGGCCGAAAAGAGTTCAGGAGCCCAAGCCATGGCCTCAATTCTCCTTCTCTCATGGACATGGGGCAGGGCTTCTTCTGAAAATATCTTAAGATTTATACTATTTGAGGTTTTTTGTTTTTGTTTTTGTCGGTCGTGGGGCTTGAACTCTGGGCCTGGGCGCTGTCCTTCAGCTCTTCAGCTTTGAGCTACAGCGCCACTTCCGCCTTTCTGGTGGTTTATTGGAGATAGGAGTGTCAGGGTCTCTCCCTGCCCGGGCTGGCTTTGAACCGCGATCCTCAGATCTCAGCCTCCTGAGTAGCTAGGATTACAGGCGTGAGCCACCAGCGCCCGGCTTGAGGTTTTTTTGTTGTTTCTGTTTTTGTGCCCGTCTCGGGGCTTGAACTCAGGCCTAGGCACTATTTCCAAGCTTCTTTTGTTCAAGATAGCATTCTACCACTTGAGCCAAAGTTCTACTTCTAGCTTTTTTTTTTTTTTTTTGAGGGGAGTAGTTTACTGGAAATAAGTTCAGACTTTCCTACTCAGCCTCCTGAGTAGCTACAATTACAGGCGTGAGCCATACATGCCCAGATATTTTAAGTTCTTTTGAGACAAGGTCTCCCTATGTAGCCCAGGCTAGTCTTAATTCATGATCCTCTGGCCTCTGCTTTTCAGATGCTGGGATTTTAGGTGTGCATTAACATACCAAGCAAAGCTTTAAAACTTGTGTTTTATCCCAGAAATTTCAAGATAAAACACTCCACGCCTCAAGCCTGATCTGAGATCCTGAGCTGTGGTGTCCCAGCACCCAGTGAGAGTCAACCCTTAAAGTACAGTCAGCTGGGCATCCTGTGTTGACCCATTTCTCCTCCCTACTTGCCAATGTGTCTGGCCAATACCAGATCCGAAGAGCTTCCAAGATGTGTGTATGTCAAGACACCAGAATCAGCAAGAGTCTGCTCCTGGCCATTAACTGCTTGGTCTGAACCCCAGGTTCCTCCCTCTCTGGGGGAATGGGGGGGAGGGGAATTTACCAAAACCCCATGCTTCCAAGGGCTGTAAATCTCCACTTCATTCCGCTTCCAAAAGAGCTAATGACATCTTAAACATGATTATCAACCCTCAAATAAATGGTAAATTTTCATTAACTCATCTAATGCAATTAATATGTTTGATCCTCCATTTGCCTATTTGCATTGGGCACATTCCATCTCCATCCTTTTCTGGCTACCCTAGATTACAACTGGACTCTTGGTTAAAACAAACCAACAAGAACATTGGACAAGTTCTGTTTAATGGAGTCCTTGTGCTTGTGAGATTAAGATGCACCTGTCAACTCGCCCTCACCGGCCACCTGCCAAACCCTCCTTGGGCCCCCGTGAGCCCCGTGATTACCACTCAGCACACATTCGTTTTTGAAGGTTGGCGGGACATTCCAGCTGAAGCTACAGGCCTGCCTCCCTTGCCTGCATACCTTCCTCACGCTGAATGGTGAATAAATGGAACACTGTTACAGGAGGGTTTCTCCTTTGTGAAACAGAACAACACAACACAGCCAACCAGAAATGAGGGGCAAGTGACTATATAAAATCTTAACAGTATAACAAACATTCTAGTTTTAAGAAGAAAGGAAGTAATGTATTTCAAATTTAGATTGAAAGAAGTAAAAATATTTTCCAGCAATTAGAAAGGAAGTTGACCACTGTCTAAAACAGCAGTTTACAAATGGTTTGATTGTGTAAGAAGGGGAGGAAACGCCTCTGACTTTGAATTTTCAATCTGCAAATTCATGCACAAAATTTGCAAACTAAACCTCACAGTTTTAAACACACAGTAAAATAAGGGAGATGAGGAAGTCTGACCATTAGACAAAACTTCATGAAATGCAGGTGTCTGGAGAAGAGACCAACCTGTGCCCCCAATTATCAGGCTTACACCAAGCTTTCTAAACCACACTTAAGGTTTCAGAAAACATAACCCACCCCCATCCTGGTCCCCCCCCACACACACACCTGCAGACATTCCAACACGGGCCCAACACCCGCATACAGATGTCCCAGGGAAGAAAACTGGTCCAAGTTTTTCTCAAGAATACAAGGCAGGAAATCTGACAAGAACTGGTCACTGAAAGAACGCAACAAGATATGCCACAACTGTGAGCTAGAGCCAGAGGAGCTGTGGCCAGCAGAGAAAGCATGTGAGCTGGAGCCACAGGCAGGAGCGGGAAAGGCTGCAGTGGCTCTGGCAGATGGAGGCGGCAGGGTCCCCTGGGGTGAAGTTCCAGGGACAACTGTTGCTGAGTGTCCCAGAGCTGCCAGGAGCCTCCCTCTGTGCCAGGCTCCAGCCTGTCCCGGCCGGAACTCCCAAACCCGGTGATTCCCACCACACCACGGGGCTGACACTAACAAGACTCCCTTTCACTCCTGCTGCAGCACAGGCAGCAGCGGTACGCGGTGGAAAAGTGCCCTGCTCTTAGTTCTTCTCAGGACGACTGGACAGTCCGGCTGGAGCAAGCCCTCAGCACAAATAGGACAGGGAGGAGGTCTGGGGGACATTCTAGGGGATGAATGAAAATGTTCTGTATAGGCAGAGGTGTGGGTGACAACCAATCAAACCATACAGCTAATCAAACTGTACAACTGTGTGACCATTTCACTGCAAATTAACATCTCAATTTTTTATGGGAAAAAAAACCAACAACAACATAAAACTTCGCCTGTAGAGGATTTGAGTTTTGATTTTGCTCAAGACCAAGTGGATCTACTCTCACAAACATAATACTAAGCAGAAACACCCAAACAAAAAAAAAAGCACATGGATTCCGTTGCTACAAAGAACAGAAAAAGGAAACAATCACCTAAACAAGATAGCAGTCAGATATGGTGGCATACTCCTGTAATTCTAGCCAGAGTTCAAGGCCAGACTGGGCAACACAGTGCAACCTTGTCTCAACATAATTTAAACAAACAAAACAATAGCTGTTAATATTAGCTCAGAGGTACAGTGCTTGCCTAGCCTGGGCAAAACTGTGTTCAATCCCCAGTATAGGCAAAAAAGACAGGAAGGGAGGGAGGGAAGGAGGGCAAAAGAAACCTCCAAGCCAGTGGTTCCCTTTGAGAGGTGGGGAGCAGGGACGGATGGGAGCAGAGCACCCCATCCTGGGCTGTGTATGTCCTGCCTCCTGAGCTTGGCACCACTAACATATTTTCTTCAGATAGATACTTTTTCCATCACGCCTTAAAGCAACAGAAAAGAAGAGAAGGCATATCCTGCACTAATCTAAAAGTGACTGGATAAGTTTTATCTTTTATAGCTAGAAGAATGGTTATTGTAAACTAAATTCTTGAGGTAGATAACAGAAGTAGACCAGTCTCTCCTGCATACAGAATTCTAACAGGACTCACATGTGAAAGGAGGGAACACTCATTCAAGAGTCACTAAACAGGGCTGGGAAGGTGGCCAGTGGTAGTGTGCTTGCCTTGCATGCATGAGGCCCTGGGTTCAATTCCTCAGCACCACTTAAGCAGAAAAAGCTGGAATTGGTACTGTGGCTCAAGTGGTAGATGCTAGCCTTAAGCTGAAGAGCTGAGAGATAGTGCCTAGGTCCAGAGTTCAGGCCCCACAACTGATGGAAAAAAAAAAAAAAGAGTCACTATTGTTAGTGACAATACAGCCCTCCGCCCTCCCCGGCTGCCAGCACCTGAGCACCTGAAGCGGTCCCCACACCCACAGCATTCCCTCTGCCTAAGGAGCAGCCGAGGAAAGAACTGGGCTCTCCCTCCCTCACTACTCCAACAAACAAAAACACAGCAAAATCCACAGGAAGTGTTTAGTCAGATCCTCACTTCTGTGTTTTCAAAGGAAGAACGAATGCCGATTCATTCTAAAGTACATCTCTTTTTTTTAAGTGTCTATTTTGATTTTCAGAGACTTCCGTTTTAGAAACATCTTATAGATACTAGATATAGTTCATAATCGTAAAGACAGAATAAGCAACGAGAGTGAACGTTAAGTTTATAGATCATGAAATTCTAATAATGACAAAAACAAGCCAATGAGTAAGCTGAAATGTAAAATACTTACAGCCATAATTAATTCGAAGGGGTGTTTATACACCCGCACGGGTGACTGGTACTTCTGCACCATGATTGTGCGTGCCTCCTCTCACACCTGCAACACATGCACATGTGTCAAGGAAAAACATGAAGTCTGTATTAACATTCCATGCCCCCTTCTAAGGGGGAAAAAGGGCAAGAGGTCATAATTCCATACATACAAAAGCCAACAGGGCAGAGAGAGGTGTGAGACCCTAAGGCAGAAAAAGAGAGGCCGGCTCTCCCTTCTGGCAGCGGCCTGGCTAGGCAAGGAAACGCCAGGACCGGCCATCGACCATGTTCTCTCCAGCAACTTCTAGTGGGAGCCAAATAAACACTGGTGACATGTTTCAACACGAATCCCTGGAGGTCACAAAAATGAAAATGGGGGGAAATACTACTGTATCTCAAATTACTGGAGACTCCTCAACAGCCAAGTCTGAAAAGGAACTTTGCCGCTTCCTGTTTTCTCACTGTGTGCAGTTTCAGAGGCGGGTCTGCGCCCGGCGGCCAGGCCAGGCCAGGCGCCCGGCTAGGCTCACCAGCGCTTCCACAAATCTCCAGCCTCCGGCAGCTGTGGCTGCTGCCGGGGGCTAAGGACACCCTCAAACCTGCGCTGCGGGGGGCGGGGGGGGGCTCCTGCCCGCTCGCTCCGCAGTCTGGGCGGCCTCTTCTCAAGACACACCGGTGTCTCGCGTCCCCCGTGACTCTTCCCACGCCTGTTTTAGAGCGAGGAGGCCACCAAACAAGCCCGTGGGTGAGCCCACCCGGCCCGCCCGGGATTGAGAACGCTCCTCCATGCCAGGGGACCCTCAGGGGTGCAGAGCTGCGCGAAGTTCAGCTGTGAACCAAAGTTAGGGAGATGTGCTTCACCCGCGCCGCACCTGCGCCCTGTGTGTGTGCGCGCGCGCGAGTTCACACGCGGGAGTGTGTGCGTGGCACCCCTCCCCGAGAGTGGGGTGTGCGGGCAGGCTGCGGGGGGACCCTCTTAGGCCGGATCTGCGAATCGGGGTTCGGGACACTCCAATTCGAAAGCCAGGCGCCGGCCTCGGGAGTTCCCCGAACTCCAGCCCAAGCCCGGGCCGAGGAGCTCCGGGGCGGGAGGCGCCCGGGGCGCCGGGACCGCGTTCCATTCCCTCCTGCACACCTCCCCGCGCCGACGCCCGGGGGATGGCGGGCATCGAACCGTCGCTTTAAAGTTGACCGGGGAGGAGGTTCTCGTTCCGCCACCTCCCAGGGTGAAGGAGGGGGCGGGGAGCGGAGGCCCCGGAGGGCGCGCCGCGGCCCGGACCCCGCGGCGTGGACTCGGGGTTCGCGGGACGGGGG